AAAAAAAAAAATTCAGTGAGGGAAAAGACTCCCTATTTAACAAATGGTGCTGGGTGAACTGGCTGGTGACCTATAGAAGACTGAAACTGGACCCCTTGCCTTTCATCATTAACAAAAATTGATTCCCACTGGATAAAAGATTTAAACTTAAGACATGAAACTATGAAAATACTAGAAGAAAGTGCAGGGAAAACACTTGAAGAAATCAGCCTGAGAGAATATCTTATGAGGAGAATATCTTCTATTGCCCCGGGCAATAGAAGCAACACCAAAAATGCATTACTGGGATCTGATCAAACTAAAAAGCACAGCCAAGAGCACAGTGAGTAAAGCAAACAGACAACCTTCAGAGTGGGAGAAGATTTTTGCAGGTTATGCTTTCAACAAAGGTCTGATAACTAGACTCTACAAAGAACTCAAACTAATCATTGAGAATAAATAACCCCATTTCTATGTGGACAAGAGGCTTGAACAGAAACTTCACTGATGAAGACAGGTGCATGGCCTACAAACACATGAAAAAATGCTCATCATCCTTAATAATCAGAGAAATGCAAATCAAAACTACTTTGAGATATCATCTAACTCCAGTAAGATTAGCCCACATCACAAAATCCCAAAACTACAGATGTTGGCGTGGACGCAGAAAGAAGGGAATGCTTCTACACTGCTAGTGGGGATGCAAGCTAATACGACCTTTTTGGAAAGAAGTTTGGAGAACACTCAAGCAGCTAGAAGTAGACCTATCAATTGATCCTGCAATTCCTCTACTAGGTATATACCCAGATGATCAAAAATCATTTTATAACAAAGGCATTTGCACCAGAATATTTATTGCAGCCCAATTCATAATAGCCAAGACATGAAAACAGCCCAAGTGCCCATCGACCCATAAATGGATTAACAAATTGTGGTATATATACACCATGGAATACTATGCAGCCATAAAAAAGATGGAGACTTCACATCTTTTATGTTTACCTGGATGGGGCTGGAACATATTCTTCTTAGTAAAGTATCAAAAAGTATCCAGTGTACTCAATACTAGTCTGAAATCAATATATAACCACCTACACACTCATATGAATGGCAAAAAACATAACTATAGTCCAGAAAGTAGAAGGGAAGAGGAAAGAGAGGGGAGGAGAGGGGGGATATGGGAGGAGTGAGGGTATTTGGGGGGACCTCACCTAATGTGCACGATGCAATGGTACATTTCAAAACTATTTAGAAATGAATATAATTGTGATGGATGTGTTACTTAGGTCAATGTAAACATTTCACATTGTATATCGAAGCACTACCCTGAACTCCATAAATGCATCAATGTACAAAGTTATGATTTAATAAAAAATAATATAAAAAAAAGATTTCACTTAAATAAGAACATACAGCATATTATAAAAAACATACATACCATATCCCGGTGCTCCAAGTTAACCCCACATTTGAGCAGTTCTTCCACAACATGTATGTGCCCTTCTTTTGATGCAGATATAAGCGCTGTCCAATTATCCTTGAACACATACACAAAAATGTTACCATTTTAAAACCAAAAATCACATTCCAAAGTGAAGAAAAATAAATTTGAATTTACATACCAAATGATCATACCAAACTGACATGAATCGACCCACTCAAAATAATTCTAAAATAGCACTTAAGCTCTCTTAAGAATTCATCTGTGGGTGGCACTGGTAGCTGGGGTAGGGCGCTGGCCACATCCCCCAGGCTGGCAGGTTTGAACCCAGCCCAGGCCAGCTAAAACAATGACAACTGCAACAATAACAAAAAAAGCTGGGAGTTGGGGCAGGTGCCTGTAGTTCCAGTTACAAGGGAGGCTAAGGCAAGAGAATTGCTTGAGCACAAGAGTTTTAGGTTGCTGTGAGCTGTGACACCATGGCACTCTACCCAGGGCAACAGCTTGAGACTCTGTCTC